GCCAGACTGTCTTCCAAACGCAATCTCACCACAATGTCTTTTCAAGCACCCATTGGTCCTCTGTGGTTTCTTTTTTTTTTTTCTTTTTTCTTTTTTTTGGTTTTTCAAGACAGGGTTTCTCTGTGGCTTTGGATGCTGTCCTGGAACTCGCTTGGTAGTCCAGGCTGGTCTCGAACTCACAGAGATCCGCCTGCCTCTGCCTCCGCCTCCCGAGTGCTGGAATTAAAGGCGTGCGCCACCAACCCCCGGCTCCTCTGTGGTTTCTAAAGGAATGTCTTCAGGCCCTTTGCATCTTTTCTGTGTTTCTAACAATCAACAAGCTACTCCTGTCTCTGCCTGCCACACTGCTAGGTTGCCAGGCACAGTTTTTTGTGTGTGTTCTGGGGTTTGAACTCAGGTACTCATGATTGTGCAGCAGGCACTAAGTCATTCCCCTAAGCCCTTTTGTCTTTCATTTCTTAAGAGGTATATCCCAGGCTGGCCTTGAACTCACTAAGTAACCAATGCTGGCTCTCAGTTCCTGACCCTCCTGCTTCCTCTTCCAGAGGGCTAGAATTGCAGACATGTGCCACCACCCCTGGTCTCCTTTTAATATTCTTATCAGCATATAATTTTACATATTTATGGAGTAATATATATATTAGACAAAGATAAAATTAGGGTTATTAGCATGTATTTCACATGCAACATTCCTCATTTCTCTTTGCTGAAATCTTCTTAGCTATTTGGAAATATATACTACATGATGTAACAGGGCAGTGGTAGCGCACCCTTTAATGCCAGCACTCGGGAGGTAGAGCCAGGTGGATCTCTGAGTTCAAACCTAGCTTGGTCTACAGATCAAGTTCTAGGACAGCCAGGGCTACACAGAGAAACCCAAACTCAAACCAAGTCAAACAACAATAAACAAAAACATAATACATAATAATCTATTACATAACATCTGTTACCTGTGGTTCATATCTGTGTAAATAGAACATCAGAGCTTAATCCCCCTGTAACTGTGAGCTAGCTTTGGTACCCACTGTCTAATCTCTTTTCTTCCTCCTTCTACTTCTCCTAGCCTCTTTAGTAACTACTGTTCTATTTTCTACTTCTTTTCTTTTTTAAGACTTATGTATTGTGTATACAGTGTGTTCTGTCTGCATGTATCCCTGCAGGCCAGAAGAGGACACCAGATTTTATTATGGATGGCTGTGAGTCACCATGTGGTTGCTGGGAATTAAACTCTTAACCTCTGAGCCATCTCTCCAGCTCCTATTTTCTACTTCTATGAGAATAGCTCTCTTTTAAAAAATATTTAATTTTTGTTTATTTGTTTGTTTATTTATTTAGGGTTTTTTTCAAGACAGCATTTCTCTTTGTAGTCCTGGTTGACCTAGAGCTCCCTCTGTAGATCAGGCTGGCCTGGAACTCACAGAGATCCCTCTGCCTCACAAGTGCTGGGTTTAAAGATTTAATTTTAAAAATTGGTGTGTGTGTGTGAGTGTGTGTGTGGTATTGATATGGGCTTGTGTGCCATATTCTGGTAGAGGTCAAAGGTCAACTTTTGGGAGTTGGTTTTCTCCTGCATTGTGGGTCTTGTCTTGGGGTTGTGGATTGAACTCAGGTTTTCAGGCTTGTAGCACAAATCCTTACCTGATCAACTGTCTCAATAGCTTCTTTCATTCTTTTTAAATGTATTTTGTTGCTTGTTTTTGTTTTTTTGAGACAGGGTTTCCTCTGTGTAACAGCCCTAGCTGTCCTAGAACTAGCTTTGTAGACCAGGCTGGCCTCGAACTCACAGAGATCCACCTGACTCTGCCTTCTGAGTGCTGGGATCAAAGGTGTGCACCACTGCCTGGTTTAAAATTTATATTTTATGTGTATGGGTGTTTTGCCTGCATGTGTGTGTGCGCTATACTTTCATGCCTTGTGCCTGAGAAGGCGAGAAGGGGCTGTCCCAGTGGGAGCTGCAGACAGTAGGGGTCTGCCTTTTGGGTGCTTGGAATCTAACCTGGTTCTTTGAAGCATAGTTGGGCTCTTATCCAAGGAGCCATCTCTCCAATTAATTTTTTTAAAGATTTATTTATTACGAATACAACATCTTGCCTCCATGTATGTCCGCATGCCAGAACAGGGCACCAGATCTCATTTCGGATGGTTGTGAGCCAGGATGTGGTTGCTGGGAATTGAACTCAGGACCTCTGGAAGAACAGCCAGTGCTCTTAACCTCTGAGCCAACTCTCCAGCTCCCAATTAAATTTTTTTGAGGAACTTGCATACTGTGTTTTTTCTGTTTCTGCTCCTCCTGTGTTTTTGGACAGTCTCCTGTAGCCTACACTGACCTTGAATTTGCAGATAACCTTCTGCCTTTATTTATTTCTGGGTGTGTTCAGGTTACAGATTACAGGTTTGTGGTTCATGTGGTGCTGGCGATGGAATCCAGCACCAAGCACTCTACCAACTGAGCTCTGTCCCATAATACAGAAGTAACCAGATCTTCCGTGAAGTGTGGCCTTAGCCAGATCTCCTGGGATGGGGCTTTGCACTGGGCCCTTCTTAAAATCAGAAAGCTCACTCCTGTTAGTCAGGGGAGCCTGGGCAGTGGGAGCCCAGTGATCCAGCCCTTATCTCACTTTGACCTCCAAAGGGCTCTGTGGCCTGGGTGCAGATCACTCCCATCACTATGCCAGGGTTTCTTTCTTCTGCGTGGGATTGCTAGCTACTTCCAGAACTGGTGTGGGACATCCGTGTACCAGCATTCAGTGGGCTGGTGTGGAACTTCCGTGCATCAGTAGTCAAGACCCGCCCACAATCTCCAGACAGCTCGTTTGCTAATCTGGGTCAAGTTTCAGGCAGGTGTGGTGTGTCTGTTCATTTTGGTAAAGAGGAGAAAGTAGGGAGACGGAGGTAAGAGGGAAAGGCAGGGCCCTGAGGGAGTACAGAAGGAATGAAGACTAGGCAGTGGAGGACATGAGGACAGAGCGGTTGGCGGGCTCAAGGACAGGAAGGAGCCTGATCCCACTTCCCTCAGCTGGGCAACTAGTGAAGGCCCTCCTTCCCAAGAGCGCTTCTCTGGTCATCCAAGCAGAGCAAGCAGGTAGAGAGGCTATGCGAGCAAGATGAGGAAACCGAGGCTCCTGAAGGTGGTAATTGGCACCTCTCTCCCCCACCGCGGCTAGCATGGGTGTTATTCAGGCTCCAGGGCTGAGCGCGCTCACCTCTGTCCGCTCCGGGCCTGGATGGCTGCACTGAAAGCCGGAGCAGTGCTCAGGCATGGGTTCCCTGGTCTTGGTGGTCCCACGGCCCCTCTACTTTTGTCCGCCGGCCCCCAGACAGGGTTTCCCTGTGTAACAGCCCTTGCTGTCTTGAAACGTGCCTAACAGCCTACGAATACACTCTCAATTTGGGGTGTGTGGTTGGAGGAGGCAGGGTCTCAGGTGGTCACAACTCTGACCCTCTCCCAACTACTAGGATCTCAGGCTCCATGGGGTGGGAGTGGGGGATGAGAAGGGAGAAGAAGAAGGGGAGGGTGGAGGCGGGGAAATCAATGTCTTAACTGAAATGTAAGGAAATACTGGAAAGTAATTACATTGAGGCAGGCTGACTTTTGTCACACGCATGCCTGGGAGTCACATGGGGACCGATTAACGCGGATTCTGAAGTTAGCAGCCTGCGGAGGGAGCTGAGAGTACACTCGCGGCTGCCCGGCTGCTGCTCTGCTACCTGGAGGCAGAGACCCCCACCTCACCCGCCACCCTCGCTGCTGCCGTGGGTGACCCGGGCGCTCAGGGCGTCCAATCCCCTCAGTGGCTCGGAGGGCCAGAGCCGTCCCCTCCCAGAGTGAGGGGCAGTTTCGTCCTGGGCCCGCCCTGCCGCTCCAGCCTCATTCCCCGCACCTACATGGCTGGGCACCAGCTGCAGACACAGCAGTTCCCACGGGATTCGTGGATCCTAGGAACGCACCGCGGGCGAGGGAGGGAGGGAGGGAGGCCCGGGCATTGACGTCAGAGGGGCGGGGCCTCGGCGCCCCACCCAACCGCTCCGCTCTCTGCCTGGTCCCAGCTTGGGTCAGTAAATCCCGGTGCTGGCATGGATTCTCTTGGCTCCCTTCTCCGGTCTCTCTTTCCTCGCTCATCCTCTGCACTGTCTGGTTTAGGTCCCTGCAGTGGGGAGTAGGAGCAGACCCAGATGTGCCCCCGCCCCCGATCTTCCTGCAGGAAGGCGGCCACAGAGAGCTAGTGCTGGCCCTGGGGAGGCTCGGAACGCAGTCAGAGTGCGGCTGGAGAAGCATGAACCCTGTGCTCTGAGCTGTGCTGGCGGATGAAACTATCGCCCATACAGCAACGCCAACTGCTGCCATTTCTTGCCAGGAGTATTGAAGTCTACAGTTTACAAAGTGTTTGTTTTAATTATAAAAATTGTCAAGGGGGCTGGAAAGATGGCTCAGTGGTCGCGAGCGCCTACTGTCGCTGAACAGTGGTGGTGCACCCCTTCAATCCCTGCACTTGGGAGGCAGAGGCAGGCGGCTGGATTTCTGAGTTCGAGTTCCAGGACAGCCAGGGCTACACAGAGAAACCCTGTCTTGAAAAATCAACTAAATAAATAATAAAAGAAAATGACGTGTCTGCATGATGGGTAAGTGCTTGCCATGCAGAGGTCCGAGGATGACTGCAGTTCAACTCCATCTTTATCTCTTACTTGACTTCCAGCCGCAGAGCCTGTATCCTCAGGGTTGTATAGCCGAACACTTTACCCCACTGAGCAATTTTGCTCCCCCCAAAGAGCTTTCTTGCCTCCATCACATTTTGTCTTCAATTCTCTGTTACTGTCATTTGACAGACAACAAAACTGAGGCCTAGAGACTGTAAGTCAGGAACACACAGCATCTGAGCTAGGAGGTGGGTCCAGGATTTGAACCTTACACGCTGGACTGCACCAAGATATTTCCTGAGTGTCCTGGACCTGCACTGTCCAGGAAGTCAACCCTTGCCATGCTTAGGTGGGGCTCTGACGGCATGAGATCTTTAGCTTTGGGTGTCAGAACTGGAGCCCTGACGGGGAGATGTTACTCTCAGGTCAGGTAGGGTGCCACACCCTACTCCTTAGGCTCTCAGACAGCCTCTGTGTCCTCAGTCTGTCTCCTCCAAGCTCCCAGGGGGCAGTTAGGGTACAGGAGGTCAGGAGGTTAGGGTAAGAGTGCTCCAGATTAACAGAGGAGCCTGACTGGGAGGGAACGGGGACCCAGTGCCTCAGAAAATGTGCTTGGCCTTTAGACTTTCCTCCCTAAGATAAACATGTGTCACGAAGAAGGAGATGGAAGGGGGGTTCTTGGTCCTCATTCGTTTGTTTATTTTGTGGTGCTGGGGAACAAACCCAGGGCCTTAACACATCCGGACAGGCAAGCACTTGGCCACTAAACCACACCCCCAGCCCTGCTCTTTCTTTCTCAAACTTAGGTTTGTTATGTAGCTCAGGCTAGTCTCTAACTACTAATCCTCCTGCCTGTCTCCACAGTGCTGGGAGTACAGGGGTATGCCACCACACATGGTTTTAATTGGCTTTAGTTTTCCAGGCAGAAGGCTCAGGCCTCAACTGCAGAGGTGACAGATGCTGAGCCAGCCATCCTTGGCGCTTGTTTGGGCTCATGGGCCAGGTTTGTCACAATTTTAAAGTTGAGCTTGAGGTGTGCTTTTGGCTCAGATGGAAGTAGGAACATTTTCTGTAGATCCATCAGGCCTCCAGCCTGGAACAGAAGGGTTTGTGTCTGGGCCTTGAATGATCCCCACTAACATACTCAGGCTCAGAGACCAAGGTCAGAGCTCATCCTAGGCTAGAATAAGAGAACAGGGAGACTCAACCTTGCTTGGTCCCTCCCTGCCCAGATCCAGCCCAGGATTCCTGCTCCAGAAGATTGAGTCAGACAGTGGCTTGGAGCCCCATAGCCTTAGGCTCCTGGTCTGGAGTGGGAGCTCCCGGTGAATGGGCCGGAGGGCAGTGGCGGAGGGGTTGCTCAGCATCCAGGTGAGAGTTAGGAACCTCCTCCTCTCCCTAAGCACCCACCCTGGAACGTACCTGCCAGGACTCAGGACTGTGATTGTCATCTTCATTTGCCACAGAGGCTGGTGACATCACTGTGGCTCGGCCTAGGGACAGCTGGACAAGTGTGGGTCAGTTCTGCCACGACCCTGTTCAGAGTTATGCATCCCGAGAAACCCCTGGGTGAAGACAGAAACTGAAAGTCCCTGCCACAGATGACTTCTGCCGTCACATCCCAGCATGCCCCTTGCTGCGTCCCAAGAACAGCTCTGGGAGGGGCTGGGTCCCTTGGTGACGTGCCCGGTCAGGGTGTTTGTTAGTGGGAAGGTAGTTGTAACCACTTTACTGAGGTTTTAGTTGCCCTCGTGGTTATGGCACTTGAGGCTCTCCTTTCTGCTCTCAGTGACAGGAAGTGTCTGTTACTCAGCTGACAATGTCCAGGTGCATAAAGGCCAATTGGAAACCAAGTCACTTAGGACTATATTGTGCGTGTCTCCAGATAAGACACTTGGATGTGACCCTAATGATATGTCCATCTCCTCTCCTGCTCTAGTCTGGCGTCCTGGCCTCACTCTGCACCGAGGAGACAGCAGCCCACCTGTGTGGCAGGAACCCACCTCAGTCTGCTCCCCTTGAATCCATGTTCCCCATCTCTACCTTGTTCTTACTCAGTCATTCCTGAGGAGAGGACGTGTCCTTCGTTTTCTCAAAGGACACCCTTACTGGCTGGCTTCCAGTGGACAAGAACAGAATGCTGGCTGTCTTTGTCTTCCTCTCCTCCTGCTCCGGCTCTAGTAAGCTCTGGATTCTGCTACCATGTTTCCAGTCTGCAAATACAGCAAGCTTGTTTCTGCTTTGGGGACTTTGAGACACACCTGCCCCCAGTTTCCCCACCTGTCTTCTTCATTCTCTCAACATTGGTTTAGAAAGGCCACCTTTCCAACCCTGCCCTCTGCACAGGGCCCCCCAAGCCCTCCCCCCACTCCAGTAGCCTATTACTGCTGGCTCAGCATCAACTCCTAGCCCTAGGCACATGGTCTGGTCCCTCCGTTCATTGCTGTTTTGGAGACAAGATCTACCTCTACAGCACAGGCTGACCTCCAGCTTCTGATCCTCCTGCTTCAGCTTTCTGAAGACCTGCAATTCTAGACGCAGCGGGTAGACAGCTGTTTAATACAGAGAAGTAGGAATTCACACAGTCCAGCAGGGAACTCTAGACCGCATGGTGCTGACCCACCAAGAAAGCCCCAAATAACACCAGAGCTACCAGCTGACCTGGAAACGTCACTCCAGGGTCCTGAAAGCTGGGGCTCCAAGATACCCACCACTGCTCTCCCGGAGTTGGGCAGGCAGGAAGCTCCTAAATGCCACCACTGATGTCACTAGTAGCCACTGGGTGGCTCTGCAGAAAAGCCTGCACTTGCTGGCTGGTAAACAGCTGGAGGGAGGCAGGAAATGACAGAAGATAAAATCCCAATGGCAGAGGCAGCCAAGAGTGACAGGGTTTTCTAGGAGCCGGTTATGTTTAGTGGTCATCCTGATTCTGTTAATTGATGCTTGAGACTGGCCTCAACCACGCTACGTAGCTGAAGACGACCTTGAACTCCTGGCCCTTCTGCCTCCCCCTCCTGAGTGGTAGGATTGTCACACACATTTTCTGTTGTGCTGGGGATAGAACCTAAGGTATCACACATGCTCAGGCAGGCATTGTCCAGACCCTACTGCCCAACTGCCCCTATTTTACAACAAAGAAAGTACCTGAAGGCTAGCGGAAGGCATCTTTCTTGGACTGAGTCACTCAGGGGAGGAAACAGCGGCCTGGCCAGCTGTCCAACTCTCCAGCCAGAGGGTGTCACAGGAGAATGAAACGCTGAGCCCCAGTGCCGCCCCACGTCACCTGTCCAGAGGATGTGCCACCACCCCACGTCACCTGTCCAGAGGATGTGCCACCACCCCACGTCACCTGTCCAGTAGGACGTGCCACCACTCCACGTCACCTGTCCAGTAGGACGTGCCAGCACCGTTGACCATCGCCAGAACCTCCACCTGCTCATTACCAGCTTTGTCCCTCTTGCTGCTGATAGGCACCAAGATCTGACGGCCGTCATCTTTTCCACCACTGGTCCCTGTTGACGTCACCATTGCTACTGCCATGATTGTTCCCTTTATGTGGCTTCACAGCCGTGGTGGCATCCAGCTGGCACTGAGGTCACTTCCTGGCTGCGGCACTCACATGTAATTGCTTAATGAGCTGGTTGTGCCCCGGCGTGCTACTAGCCTGCGCTCTGTGGGAGTCTTCACAGGCTCTGGGCTCAGTGGATGTGACTGTGACTTCCAGGATCCCAAGAGCCCCTAGGAGGTCATTCTGTCTGTCCTCCTGCCTCACTATCGCTTTGTCCGTGTAGTAGAGAAAAACAGCATCCTGGAACAGTTAAGAGCGTGAGCAGAAACCAGACCCGGTGGCTCTGTAACCCTGGCTCTTGTGAGTCTGAGGCAAGATGGTCGCTGGGCGTTCCAGGTTAGCTTGGCCAATAGTGTAGGGCCCTGTCTCAAAAACTAAAACCAAAACCTAGACAATGGATAAGTAGTACTGCTTGAGTTGTTCTAGTACAGCAAATGACCCCAACCTTGAAACCAGAAACCCAGCCTCAGTTAGCTCATCTGTAAGATGGGAACTCAAAGAACTGTCATACACGGTTAATATGGGCTCACAAGTGAGAGCTTGGCCATGTCTGGTGCCAAGAAGCCCTCAGGTAGAGTCTGCTTCTGTAGCTTTCTTTTGTCAAATATTTAGATTTTTGGTTTATTTCCTTTTGAGACAAAGTCTCACAATGTAGCCCTGGCTATTCTGGAACTCACTCTGTAGACTATGTTGTCCTGGAACTCACACAGATCCACCTGCCTCTGCCTCCCATGCTGGGACTAAAGGAGTGTGCCACCATGCAGACTAAATTTTCTTTTAGTTAATTATTTTTTTTAATTTTTCTAGTATTTTGAGACAGGGTTCCTCTGTGTAGCCCTGGCTATCCTGGAAGTTACTCTGTAGACCAGGCTGGCCTTGAACTCACAAAGATGCACCTGCCTCCGCCTCTCAAATGCTGGCATCAAAGGCCTGGCTAATTAATTTTTTATTTTGATTTTGACTCTGTTTACCAGCAGGTACCTACCTCCTCTCTGGCCTGTGGCTCTGCCCTTCCTGTCCTGCCTAGGCGTCCTGCTCAGCTCTCCCCAGCCAGCTTAGGTCTAGAGGAGACCCTCCAGAAGTCATTGCATCAAGTTCCTTTCCCAGAACAGGCATCCAGGTCTCTCACCTCTCCCAATCAGGAAGTCCTTCCTGTTGTCTGACTTGAATGTGGGCTGAAGCAGCAGTTTCCAAGGAGGAAGCTCCTCAGGGGACGTCTTGTGAAAGGGGTCTCAGGAAACTGGGTTGTGGGGTGCCAGGGCTTTAGGGGTAAGCCTGCGCACCCCAGAGTTGAAAGGGGTTCCAGACATTGGTACAGGGCAGGACATGTGGTTGGCTGTTCCACAGAGGGACTGTTCCTCAGCCCTCCTTGACTACCCAGCAGATTCTCAGCCCTTGGGGACCGCCTTGCCCTTCAGCAGGCCCCGCACAGGCAGCTCAGGACCGCTGTTCTCTGTGCCATTCCTGGTCCTCATGCTCAGGTTCTCACAGGCAGTTCCTGAGGTCCTAAGGCACCCCTCTCTAACTGCCCTTTGACCTCTCTCCCCTGGTCCTGGAGACTTTGGGAACTGACCTTAGACCCACAGCCTGGGCATGTTCCAAGCCCACCTCATCTTCTCTCTCTGACTTGGTTCTATCTTGGCCAGGGGCCCCAAGGAAGCAGAGACCTTTCCCATCTCTCCCCTGCCCCAGACAGCTGACGTTCAGAGGATGCTCACCGTGTACCAGGCTGAGTAGAGAGGGTGCTCACCGTGTACCAGACTGAGTAGCATGCCCAGCTGAGGCTGCCCAGGGCAGTTCCTCAACATGCATGATTTCCATTAATATCCCACAAACATGGTGTGTGGTGTGTGTGTGTGTGTGTATGTGTGTGTGTGTGAGTGTGTATGTGTGTGTCAGTGTGTATGTGTGTGTGAGTGTGTATGTGTGAGTGTGTATGTGTATGTGTGTCAGTGTGTATGTGTGTGTATGTGTATGTGTGTGTGAGTGTGTATGTGTATGTGTGTGTGAGTGTGTATGTGTGTGTGAGTGTGTATGTGTATGTGTGTGTGAGTGTGTGAGTGTGTGAGTGTGTGTGTATGGAGGTGGCAGAGAGCTTCACAATAAGTCTACAAAGGGCGTCTAACATGTGGCCCTGGGGCCACATATGTCCCAGGATTGTGATGAACATGTCCTAGCCCCTTTGTAAATGACAATAGTTTGTCATAATTTCAAAAGGTTACCACCCCCCCTCCCCCAGTCTTTCTTAGGGTTTGCAGACCTGGCTTCCAGATCCCCACTGGGGTCACTACTAAGGGCCACTTTGGATCTCTTCCAGTTCACCCTCCCAGCAGGGATCCCTGGGGCACAGGCATAGGCTCTGTAGGAATGTTGCCCCTGTGGGTCCTGCGCTGCCTTTTAGTGTGTAGAGGTCCCGGCTTGTCACCGAAGATGTCTCAAGGCTCCAACTTCCTGATTCTGCTTCTTCCCTTCCATTTCCTCAGCCAGAGCCTCAAGCCGCATGCTGCACCCTGCAACTGAGCCTCCCACGCTTCTCTGTGGTCTCTCCCCTCACCTCAGCCCAGCTCTTCTCCCACTGGAAAACAAAAGTTATGGTGCACTCCTTAAGCCCAGCACTCGGGAGGCAGAGGCGGGTAGATCTCTGTGAGTTCGAGGTCAGCCTGGTCTGTGGTACGTCCCAGGCCAGCCAGGACTACACACGCCTCCAAATAAAATAAAAATAAAATGTCCGTGTGACTTGCATGCGTATTCGTGATTGTTTGTGTTTGATTATGTGTGTCATGGTTACCCTGTGGAGGGCAGAAGTGAACACCTCAGGTGTTGGTCCCCGACTTCCCCTTTACTTCAGACAGGACCGATTCACCAGGGCTTACATGAGGCTGGCTGGGCCTTGAGCTCCCAGGAACTCTCCTGTCTCTGTGTCCCATCTGTCCATGGGAGCCCTGAGATCACAGATGTGAGAAACAGCATCTGGCCCTCTGCAGATTCTGGGAACCTGAGCTCTGGGCCTCAGGATCACATGGTAATTGCCCTATCTCTCAGCTGTCTCCACAACCCTTCTCTCCTGGGGATGCCAAGCTGTTGGCCCCTCCCAAAGGAAGCCCCTCAAGGCTTAGAATTGATGTGAGGACAAACTAAATGGGCTCCCAACTCCTGTCACCTGGCCTTTCTTGTCTGGTTTCTGTCACCTCTGTCACTGTCATCCCCAGCCCTCCCTCCCGCACGTGTCCCCTCTTCCTGCAGGGTTTTTTTCTCATCCTTTAGATTTCAGCTCAGTGTCCCTTTCTCAGGGACAAGGACATGCCCTCTTCCCCCAAACATAGTGAAGGGCCCAGCCCCTCACCCAGCCCCCTGCTTTGGCAACCGTGACAGGCTGCAGAAAAGACACAGCAAGACATAGGCCCCTGACTCAGCAGCATGTGCTGAGCTCCCGACCTTGCCCTAATCACTAGGAAGCAACCGCCAGATGCCCTCCATGTGGCGAGGAACCAATCAGAAGTTAGCTGGCGGGCTCTGGATGTGCTTTACAGTAACAGTGGGGTGCAGGGCACAGCAACCACCCTGGGAGGGCCTCTAGGTACAGCAACCTTTCTGCAGCTGACCAATCAACTCAGGACAGGCTCCCCCTGCTCCTCAGGGTGCACCAACCCTGAGACTGTTCCTATGCAACTAGCAGGACCCCCAGACACTCCCCTTGCTCTACCCCAATACATGCCCTGCCCCACTGCTGCTCAGGGTCCCTCCTGCTCCTCCTGCTGTGTCGGATGGACGGAGGACCCCGGCTAACTTGTAAATTAAAAAGACTCTTTGCTTTTGCATCCGATCTGGTCTCTTGGTGTTTTGGGGGTTCAGAGTCTGGGCACAACGTGTGTGTCTGTCAGGCCTCTGGTGCTGGGGTGGGGCACAGTGCCTGGCATACTTGTGAGGAGATCATGGGAGCCACACCCCATGCTGGCTTCTCTCAGGAGGCCTTAGGAAATAAATGGAGGATGAGTTTGCACCTGCAAACCTGCCAGGGTCTGGTCGGTATCAGTCCTAGGCTGCAAGAGCCATCTATTCCGGACTGATGTCTTTAGGGCTGTGCTCAGAACCAGCTGAACAGCCTCAGGTTCAACCCTGAGAGGCAGAGTGTGGATCAGGGAAGTCCTAGCTACCCAGCAGCATTAAGGATGAGACAGAGGCATCTTGTCATTTCAGGAGAGCTCTCAGTTAATACAGAGACCACGGTTTATTCAAGCATCCCCTTAAATAGCTTTCCAA